TTTTAGAGTAAAAAAAAACATTTGTAGAAGCTGCCGCTAGTGTGAATACAGATTAGCTACATTTGTGAGAGTGATAGTAAATCTCTAAATGCTATATTTGTAGCCTTATCCATATTAATCTAATTATTAAATTATATTACTATAACTAATAATATATTAATATATTTATTGTAACTGAAAAACTGTTTGTTTCTTTGATATTTAAAGTAAATAACGCCTTTTATACGTGCTAAAGGAATATTAAAGATTTAATTATGAAGATTTATTGTAGCCAATTTCAACAATATGATTTTTTTATAATACAAGGGTGACAAACGAGCACATTCTTCCCTGGTGGTAAGTGGATGCTGTACCCGAAGACATCTACAAACATTTACCCTCAATTAAGAATTATAATGCAGATACGTTGTCACCCTTGAGGACTAAGATGGAATAGCACGTTTCCAGTAAAAAGGGTCTCCGGTTCTCTACACTCATCATACAAAACGCAGCAGAATATAGCTGCTATTTATTTTACGCTGATATTCTGTGAGAGTGAGGTCGTGCTACAACCATAATATAGCTGCAACGTGGCTCTACCACAATGGAAAGTAGTAACTGCAAATGATGTATCATAGTGCATCAAGTGTATGCGAAGCCATCTTTAAAATGCGATCATCTTAAAGAAGCAAGGCAATAAGCAATCGTACATATTGATCTTCTTTGGCCGAAAAACTTCTAGTTTAATTAGCAGTACCGAGCAGTGGCGGTGTTAGAATATCTACTTCCCCATAACGTCCCGTGGTTGTAGTAAGAGGCGACAGAGGTAAATTGAAACAGGTGATGAGCCTATGTGGGAGGCCTATGTTCGGCAGTGGACTTAAATAGGCTGTAATGGATGGATGAATGGAAAATTAGCAGATCAATAACTCAGTTGATAAGCATCATGCGGTCTCTGCATACGGGGTAGCGACCAATGACTTGACCTTGATGGACAGTCACCTCTGCGTACGAAATGTGATCTCCTCTTTTTTCACTTGTCACTCGTGTTTTTTGATGAACTACACACTCAAAGTACTGGAAAATATGATTTGGGGGGACCTCTTAAGTACAATTTCCATGTGAAAATGTGTTAAAAAATCGCCCTTATTACGTAGGGTCGGGTAGTTCAAAAGACTAACGCCGATAGGCGTCGGGCGCACCTCATAATTAACCACTAACGCCAATCGGCGTTTTTTCGCACATGAAAATTATTTATTGCTTATTTAGACAGAATTTTACTGACGCTCATCAGACTACGCCATGTGCAAGTGACTGCGTACTCAGTGGCCTAATTTCATTTGTATATAATAAGTTATTTTGTGATTAACAGTGAAGTTTTATTAAAAATACTGGCGATTTCCTATTTACCATAAATATGGCTGGAAATAGTAAGTGCAATTGTTTCTTTTCTATTCAGTATAGTAAGGGATATTTTTCACATTATAGAAAGATTTCTAATTACACTTTGAGTAATGAAATTGGTTTTTATATTAATATTTTCACACACACACACACACACGTCAATATTTTTGGACGTTTGTCCTCGTGCAATTTATGTTTGTTTTTTTTTTTATAGAAGAGGGGGCAAACGAGCATGCGGTTCACCTGATGGTAAGTGACTACCGCCGCCCATGAACAACTGCAACACCAGGGGAATTGCAGATGCGTTGCCGGCCTTTTAGAAAGGTGTAAGCTCTTTTCTTGAAGGTTCCTATCGGTCCGGAAAATTCGCTGGTGGTAATTGATTCCACAAGGAAGTTGTGCGAGGGAGAAAACTTCTTCTAAATCGCACAGTGGTGGATCGCCAATCATCCAGATGGTATGGATGGTAAAGCGAGTTATGTCGCGATGTGCGATGGTGAAATTGAGCGGCTGGAATTAGTCCGAACAATTCCTCAGAGCACTCCCCGTGATAGATGCGATAAAATACGCAAAGAGATGCAACATCTCTACGCAGTGCCAGTGTATCGAGCCGATCAGAAAGAACTCGGTCGTCGACGATTCGAACCGCTCTACGCTGGATGCCGTCAAGTGGAAGGAGCTGGCACTGGGGTGCCCCGGCCCAGAGATGAGAACAGTATTCCATGTGGGGCCGAACTTGCGCTTTGTAAAGTTGCAAGCGATGTGCCGGCATGAAATACTGTCTCGCTCTGCTGAGCACGCCAAGCTTTTTAGAGGCCAATTTGGCCTTCCCTTCCAAGTGACCACGAAACTGCACACTATTCGATATGTCGACGCCAAGGATTCCGATACTAGCTGAGGCAGCAAGGGGAGTACCTTGAAACTGAGGAGATACGAACTCCTTTGTTCTTTTTAGCGGTAAACGCGCAAACTTGTGTCTTCTGGGGATTGAACTGGACTAGATTTAGTCGGCCCCAATCCGAGACTTTGTTAAGCAAAGACTCGACTTCAGACACAAGTTTGTCCCGGTACTCAGCGACGTTTTCCCAAGAAATATTGGCACGGCCGGTATATAAGGCATCACCAGTGCTGTCGTCTGCATAGCAATGAATGCTACCAGTTAGCAACATATCATTGATATGCAGGAGAAACAGCGTTGGTGATAGCACGCAGCCTTGTGGAACACCAGCGTTGATAGGCTTGAAATCAGAGCATGCACCGTCTACTACGACCTTGATGCTCCGATCAGCAAGGAAACTGGTGATCTATTTGCACAATTTCTCGGGAAGCCCATAGGAAGGAAGCTTCGAAAGAAGCGCTTTGTGCCAGACCCGATCGAAGGCCTTCGCTATGTCCAAACTAACGGCCAATGCCTCCCCCTTGGACTCTACTGCCTCCGCCCATCTATGAGTCAGATAGACTAGAAGATCACCAGCTGATCGACCTCGACGAAAACCGTACTGGCGGTCACTAATCAGCTGGTGATCCTCAAGGTACCTCATGAGCTGGCAGTTTATAATGGATTCCATTATTTTGGAGAACAAGGAGGTGATGGCAATAGGCCTGTAGTTGTACGGGTCTGAGCGGTCGCCTTTTTTAGGGATCGGGTGGATCAAAGCTGTCTTCCATGAATTCGGGACTACGCCTTGGGAGTAGGAGTACCGGAAAAGACGCGTTAAAACCGGTCCCAACTCCGGAGCACACGTCTTCAGCACAATGGGAGGGACTTCATCGGGCCCACTCGACTTGCTGACGTACAGGGAGAATAGTGCTTTGCGAATCGAGCGCTGTGTAAACCGCACATCCGGAATGGAGCACTCACATCGCGGGATGGTCCGCGGTGTGTTCCCCCGTCATCTAGAGTCGAGTTGGACGCAAAAAGAGAGCTCAACAGATCGGCTTTCTCCTTTGCGGCATGGGCCAGTGAGTCGTCCTCTCTGTGCAGAGATGGAAGAGATGGCTGACAGAAGTACCCTTGGACAGCCTTGGCGAGAGACCAGAATGCACGGGTTCCCGAAGGAAGGCGAACTAGCTTCTCGCCAATTCTGCCGATGTGCACAGACCTTGCCTTGGCAATGACGCTTTTGAAGGACCTGGAGGCGGAGTTATACTTCTTTTTAAGTGCGCTGGTGTTTAATTCCCGAGACGTTGATGCGTCAGCCCAGGCTCGGTAGCACTCCTGCTTATAGCGTGATGCTATTTTACAGGAGCGACCAAACAATGACTGGGATCTGCTACCGATGGGCACCACAGAGGATGGAATAAAAAGTTCCATACCCTGAAGTACCACATCAGCAACAGAATCGGCAACAACGCTGGGATCTTCCGGCGAGAAGCAAACCCGCCCCCAAGGGTAGGATGCAAAAAACGACCGCATCCCGTCCCAATCAGCTGACCTATAGTGCCAAACACGGCGGCTAGCTGCAGATCGCAACTGCGATTGGAGCGTAAGTGGCACCGTACTTCGGATCAGACAATGGTCCGAAGAGCCCAGAGGGGCATCGACGGAGACCTGATATCCGTCCGGATGAGAGGTCAGCAGAAGGTCTAACAGGGAAGGTACATGGTCTTCCACATCTGGGATCCGCGTAGGCGAAGTAACCAGTTGTGTTAGACCATATGCCAAAGCAAAGTCATAGACAGATCTACCCGCATGATCGGTTAAACGAGAACCAAGCCATTCAGCGTGGTGGGCGTTAAAATCACCGAGTATCACGATCTCTGCGGATGGGACCTGTTGTAGCACGGAGTCTGCAGCCATTTGGACGTGGTCGATGAGTCAGTCTGTGTCGGCATTACCGCTATGGGACCTATAGAGGCACCCGTAGACGCGGGGATGGTCGTCGCTGTCTACGCGCAGCCATAGGATGGACAGGTCCGTACCTTCCGAGACCGGACTGCCGAGGCGTCGAAAACAGATGTCCTCTCTGACGTATACGCAAACTCCAGCCCGGGGCACAAAGGAGTGTTCCAATTTGTACCCCGGGTAGGAGAGATATGAAGTATCGGCCGGAGAGGACACCTGAGTCTCGGTTAAAAAGAGCAAGGCCGGCTTCGCCGTCTCTAGATGGTAATGGGCAGCGTTAAGGTTGGAATGAAGTCCCCTGATGTTGCAAAAATTCACGGATAGCGTGACAGGGGTCGCCTTGGTTGTATTGCTCCGCTTGCCCCGCTTGCGTTCTAGTTATGGTGAGACCTTACCCCCGGACATGATAGTGACTTGAAAATGTATTTTGCGTAAATCGAATCAAAAATTAATATCAAAAAAACTGAAGGTAGCTGGGCTAATTGTGACATGGGGACGTCAAACATCTCAGTCCCCCCCTGTGACCATGGATTGCTGTAAAGCACCCGAAACGTCGGGAATTAAAATAGTAAATTAAACGCCATAAAATCCGTAAAAATAGTTGTATTCAATAAACTCTTTGTGTTAGTTTAGGGGTCGCTCCGCTGTAAAGCCATGGATGCTTATATTATTTGGTCTGCGGGTGCCACTTAACATCAGGTGGACTGTCCCTTTGCCACTCCAACTTAGTTGTTTAATAAAGCACAATACTTTATTGAGATATAAGTAACACTTACAAATTACTAAAAAATATGTTATCCCCGCAACAATTATGTAAATTACCTAATAGCCATAATAGAGATTCATTAACAACACTATTGTTCAGATTCAAAATCTGCCACAGACTTTGGCCTAGGTTATTCTCCAATAAAAAATTCAATATAGCACCATACATTTCTATGTCCATATTGGCTAATGTTCTTATCACATAAACTAATTCACAACACAAATTATTTTCTTTACAGTTTGCTGTATGGTTTTTAACACTTAATGCAAGGGTTGCCAACATTTTCTGTAGAAATTCCTCAGGCATGTTGTCTCTGAAGTCTGCATGACAGGAGAGGACAAATGACAGTTGACTAGACGTCAAATTGGCTTCCAATTTTGACAGGGCTGAAAGAACTTTCGGTAGATATTCTGTCCTGAAAACCCAATTATTTTACATAATTACTAAAGTTATATTTGTTAAGGCTTGTAGATGGTAAAATTTCATATCTACTAAAATACATGCTTAGTACTATTCATAGTGGATAGTATGATAGTAGAAAAAGTCCCACTGGGTTTTTTTATGGAATGGGGGTGACAAATGAGCACACAATGACTGATGGTAAGCGGACGCTGCGGCCCATAGACATCTACATCTATTCTTGTTTAAGAATCAAAATACAGATGTGTTGTCACCCCTGCGGACTAAGATGGAATGCCTCGTTTCCAGTAAAAAGGGTTCTCAGGTTCTCTACACTCACCATACGAATCACAGCAGCATTAAGTGGCTAGAGGTGTCCACGGACTGTAGTAGCCACTTAGCATCAAGTGGACGTTTTTTTCTTCATACTCTACTAAGCCAGCGCTTATCTACCACCTGATGGTAAGTTTGTTTACCACTAAGTTTTATATAAAAAAAAATGTAAAATACACAAGCATGCTGTACACGCCCCTAGTTGCCCCGACAAAGGTCGACTATACAGGGGCCCATACTGTAGATTCGACGGACAACGAAGAGTGGGGCTCGAAATGCCTATGGATAAATGTTCAAAAAACAGCTGACAAATAAGCAAGCACTTATCTATTTCAGAAGGTATAGGTAAGATGCGCTGAGTCAAACGCGATTGCATGCCGTTTCACATGCCCATGTTTGGGCCTAAACACATGCACTAAAAACAAGCATCAATATTACACGACGTCTCTAATAAAATCATTTTGTCGTAATTTTTCTATATTTCTAGGTAAAGTCTAATGCGTTCTTATGTAGTTCTAGAGTAGCTTTTTCGTGAGTCCGCTTGGGTAGCCAGTCGCTTACCTATATCTATTAATGAAAAGCGTGTTCCGTTTTGAAGGGTACAAAAAACATTTTTTTTATATAGAATAAGGGTGACAAACAAACACACAGTCCATCTGATGATAAGTTGTTGCTGTGGCCCTTAGACATCTACATCTCTTCGTTTGCGAATTAAAATGCAGATATGCGTTGTCAGCCGTGAGGACTAAGATAGAATGCCTCTTTTCCAGTAAAAAAGCTCTCCGGTTTTCTACATTAACTATACGAAACACAGCAGCATTAAGCTGCTATTTTAAGCTGGTATTTTGTGAGAGCGTGGTCCTTCCCCGGTCGAGCCGACCCATTCGTGCTAAAACTATACTATTAATATAACTGCAGCATGACTCTACCACGTATAAAACCGTACGAATGACACGTATGAATCCTTGTTTATTTGTAGCTGGACAGCTACTGTAGTCGCACAAGATCTACCAGGTGGATTGTACACTTGTAAATATCTCTTCTTTTAGGAGCTACACATCTGGTAACGCAAACACAAATCCATCTACTAGATCCGGCGAATACAATTTAATTATGAGATGGACCCATGTCTGTGATAAGCCTTCATCATCATCTTTTCAGCCCTTCACAAGTCCACTGATAAGTGTAGGCCTTCCCAAGGGCCACAAAAGCCACAAAGCACGGTCCTGAGTCACCTGCATCCTCTGACCTCCTGCATCTTTTACCAAATCGTCACTCCGTCTAAAGGGAGGCTGCACTACACTTCTCTGACTGTTTTTAGGCTGTACGAGGCTGTTACTCGACAACCTTCAATATTTCTAGATTAACGATTCAAAAAAATAAAAACAGAACATACTTAAAATCATCTTCCATGTGAAAAGCAAAGTGTAGAAGTGCGTATAGAGCGGCGTCTTGTACATCCGCATTGTTGAGAAGCAGAAGTTCGCAGAGTTTGGCTAACGCGCCTTGGGCCACCAGAATATCGCATACCTTAGCCCCTGAGCCTGCTAGGTTGCCTAGCGCCCATGCACAAGTCACCTGGAGATAATATCAGCAATTATAAGTACATGCAAACACATAAAAATTCGTCATATTTAAGAACAAATTCTTCAGGTGTATACTCCCCCATTCATAACATCATTACAGCTCTTCACAAGTCCACTGCTGAACATAGGCCTCCCCCAGGGAATGCCATAAATCACAGTCGCAAGCCACCTGCATTCACTGACTTCCTACATGTCTTACCAGGTAGTCACTCGCATCTAGTGGGAGGCCGCCCTACACTTCGGCTGAATCGATTGTAACGAAACTTCTTTTTTTTTCACGTTGTAGAGCCATGCTGCAGCTATATTAGTAGTATAGTTGTAAGTACGAACGGGTCGGCTCGACCGGGGAAGGACCACGCTCTCACAGATTACCAGCGTAAAATAGCAGCTTAACACTGCTGTGTTTCGTATGGTGAGTGTAGAGAAAAGGAGACCCTTTTTACTGGAAAAGAGGCAGTCAATGTTAGTCCTCACGGCTGACAACGCATCTGCATTCATTTGCAAACCGGGATAGAAATGTGGATGTCTATGGGCCACAGCGACCGCTTGCCATCAGGTGGACTGTGTGCTCGTTTGTCACCCTATCGTATAAAAAAAACTTTATGAACAGATAGAGAGCAATGCCAAGAGTGATCTAGGCTATATTTATTCTGAAAAACTTGAACGCTTGAAATAAAAATTATGAAATAAATGGTCTTTAATTATTTAAAATCTAAACAACGCCACATTAACAGATTTGCGGGCGGGCGGTTCGCTAGTTATTTATAAATTATTTCATCATTTAATTTAAACGTGTATCATTTCCATCCGTCCAGCTTATGAAAGTCCACTGCTGTAATAAGCCTACACCATAGATTGCCTTATAGGTGAGATTTTGCCATAGTTGCCACGCTAAGTAGGCAGGTTGGCCGCAGCATTGGCAACCGCAAAGGCGGAATAAATGTCGACAGCGCCTTAGGCTAACACCTCATCGGCGACCCTCTGGCGATCATATACATATATGTAATATGCATATATATTTTTAATATATGTACACTTTATGTATCGAACCTGGCAAAAATTCGTTTTGGCACCCAGGTTTGATTAGCAGAGAATATACATGGTATTAAGTCCGCCCTATGTACCCTTTATTTTAAGGTGTTACATTTAAACTTTTAAATGAATCTATACAAATAAATAAAATTGAAGTGTCTGTTTGTAATGTCAAAATTACAGTTTTTTACTAAATGCATATGAAAGTAAATACGATACCTATAACTAAAATACAATTTTTAAAATTTTTGTCTGTCTGTCTGTCTGTCTGTCTGTTTGTTCCGGGTAATCTCCGAAACGGCTGGACCGATTTTGACGGGACTTTCACTGGCAGATAGCTGATTTCATAAGGAGTAAAATAGGCTACTTTTATTTTAGAAAAATAATCAGGGTTCCGCGCAGAAACATAAAAACACTAACACGCGAACGAAGTCGCGGGGAACAGCTAGTAAATAAATATAACTACTAATTTTTCAACTAGCTATATTATAAGTTTTATACTAACAAACTATAATTTATAGTACAGTTTAGTAGCAAAATAATTAGGAAACGTGTACCCTAACAGATGGGCGTGAATGAAAAATGTGACGAGAGTGAGAGCGATGTAGGAGTAATCCATACTAATATTATAAATGCGAAAGTAACTCTGTCTGTCTGTCTGTCTGTTCCTCTTTCACGCCTAAACGGCTGAACGGATTTTGATGAAATTTGGTATGGTGATAGATGATAATAGGCTATAAATAATAGGCTATAAATAATCACGCCATCGTTCTTAGGGGGTAGGCAGTAGGCAGATAACTAAATTGAGTTAGTGATTTTTTTATGGTTTTTGGTGGGAGTTTTGCTCTATCATGCCTAAACGGCTGAACGGATTTTGATGAAATTTAGTTAGGTGATAGATAGTAACCTAGAAAAGGATATGGGCTATTAATATTCATGCTATCGTACTTAAGGCGTAGGCAGTAGGCAGAAAACTAATTAAGTTAGTGATTTTTAATAGTTTGGTTTAAAAGTTTACCTCATTCACGCCTTAACGTCTGAACGGATTTTTATAAGACTTGGTTAATATAAAGATAGGATCCTAGGCACGGACACAGGCTACTTCTTACGGCGGGAAAATACCTCATTCCCGCGGAAATCTAGCGTGATCGTGTCAAGAAGCGAATGACGCCATAGCTACTGAAATGATTTTGATGTTTTTTTTTAAATGAGTGTTACTAAGACTTAAAGTTAGTATTTGATCACTTTTCTAACTTAGAGGGTCGGTAGGCGCCATAATTTAGGGAATTTATTATAAAATTTTGATGCATCTGTCTTTATTTAACAGTTTTACTTGGATCGAAACTTAGCGACATACCATCACACTACTTAACTTATAGGGTAGGAAGGTACCAAAATTCAGACTACTTTTTACTTCGGGAAAATATCTCATTCCCACAGGAACCTATACACAGCTACCTATCTACAACATTAAAACTCTGTCTAGAATCACATTACGCCATAGCTATTGATCTGATTTGTATACGATTTTTTATTCAACTGACTGTTAAATTACATACAGATAAAATCTAATTACCTACACCACAGAATTAATATAGTACTACATAACTAGCTACGCTTTAAACTTGAGGAGGTAATTAGATAGACATTTATACGAACTTTATGCTCAGTAATCAATCATAGTGATAAGTTAATACTCATTTTAGACAAAGAAACGGATAGGTAATCAGTTCATCACCGAAATTATAACACCTACACTTAGTTTGTTTACTATTCAACGAGGGAAAATAATTCAATATAACGCAAACCTTCAAATCATACGTCGTCGTAGTGAATACAAGACGCTGCGCCGAGCGAAGAGGCGGTGCGGCGCGAGGGGAGGGCCGTGCCCAACTGTGCCTACCCAAGCGGGCAGACGCACGAGCATAGATAAGAGCGCACGAGGGCAGACGTCGTCGTCGCACGTATGCGAATATTGAAATATTGCGTTACGAAACTCTATTCGTTGCGTATTTTTGGTTAGCTAAAAACGTTCTTTTTAAATTCCGAGTTGAAACAGGTACTACGGTCTACGCGTAGGGTCTGTAAGCTTTAATTTAGTCCTTTGTTTTAGATATCTAAATAAATATTTGGTAGGTTATTATTTTTGAGTCCAAGTTGACGTCATTTTCGTATTTTTATTAAGTACTTAGTTACATTTTTATTATTAGGTAGTTAAGGTAGCTGTTAGATGTAGGTATTTTCTTAACCAATCATTCATATCTCTAGGTTTACTCAGATACGTATTATTCTTTATTTTTGCAGTCGCTTTCATTTGTTAATTCTCAATTTTATTCATGTGTAGGTTAAGTGTTTTTTAGCTCACATCTGGATGTTTATAGTTCGTAGTAAATTAGTTTAGTAATAGATTTTGTCATTATATTATAGTACTTTTATGTTAGTTTTGATAGATAAGTAGGTAGTACCAGTAGTGAAGAAAATTGTATATTGTGGTGTGGTACATAAATTCAATATTTTTGAATTTATTTAGTTAATTTAGGTTTTAGGTATAAAAGGTTTGTCAGGTGCATAGTTGTTTAGGTTCAATACGTTATTGATTGATTTAGATATTTAGGTTATAAGTAAAAAGGTTTGCTTTATCGAAGTTTTTATAAAAAATTGTCTTATGTTGTAGTTTTTAAAACTACCGATTTTAAAAATCTTTAATTATTGTTTTATTGTTTTCGATATGCCACGCAAACGTAAATCCAATCTAAGCCGTAGTTCTAGCAGAGCTCGAACTGCAAAAGTTGCTAGAAGCCAAGAATCTGAAGAGCAGACTCAGACGCGTCAGATGTTAGATTCTCAGCGTCATGCGACTCAAAGAGCTTCTGAGACCTATACGCAGACTCAAGCCCGTAGGACCTTAGATGCTGAGCGCCACGCATCTCAAAGGGCCTCTGAGACGTTTACACAGACTCAAGCCCGTCAGGCCCTAGATGCTGAACGCCACGCATCTCAAAGAGCCTCTGAGACGTTTACGCAGACTGAGACCCGTCAGGCCCTGGATGCTGAACGCCACGCATCTCAAAGAGCTGCTGAGACAGTGGAACAGACTCAGACACGTCGAGTTTTAGATGCCGAACGTCACGCGCAATTGATTGCGGCAGAGACTGACGAAGATTCACAAAGACGACGTCTTTTAAATGCTGAACGGCAGGCAGAAAGAAGACGTACGTTTTCAATGAGTACGTGGGAGGCATTTAATGGTGCCGCTTTTGAGTATGACCCTTTGATCGACTATGTTAATCACCGATTGGTTACCATTGGGAGAATGGATAAAAAATGCAGATATTGTGAAGCACTGAAATGGAAAGAAGAAACTCCAGGTATGTGCTGTTCTGGTGGAAAGGTTAAAATTCCATTACTTGGCGAGCCAGAGGAACCTCTTAAATCTTTACTTTTATACGACAGTAACGAATCGCGCCGGTTTTTAAGCAGGATTAGAAAGAATAATTCTTGCTTTCAGATGACGTCATTTGGTGTAGATAAGGAGTTCGTAATGCCTGGATTTTCACCTACTTTTACCATCCAAGGACAGGTGTATCACAGGATTGGTTCCTTACTTCCTGCAAATAATGAACAACCAAAGTTTTTGCAACTTTATTTCATGGGCGATGAAAAAAACGAAGCTGATCGCAGGTGTCAAAATATACAAGGAATCGAAAGGGATACTGTTTTAAAAATCCAGAGAATGTTGCATGAACATAATCGCCTTATCAATACTTTCAAAACAGCACTAGAAAGAATGCCGGGAGAGGATTATAGGTTGGTGATGCACCCCGATCGCACACCAAGTGGGGAACATGAAAGGCGGTATAATGCACCGTTAATAAATGAAGTCGCAGCCTTGGTTACAGGCGAACAGTTTGCTTTCCGTGATATAGTTTTACAGGCCCGAGATGACACATTAACCAGGGT